AGCAGTAATTGTTTAGCTTGTTAAAATGCCTTTCTCAGGAGAGAAAGTTCCCATTTAGCAGGCCGAGTTTGCGTTGGATGCGAGCATTACTGGTCCCACCTCCCAAGCATTGTCCTCTAAACAAAAAAAAAAGGTGGGGGGGGAGGGAGGAGGGTTGATGCTCCAGGGTCTGTATCTTCCATAGGCTGCCACACTGTGGTTATTCAGAGACCTGTGCCATCATCCTTGGTAGATGCTGCGTGTCTGCACTCTGGCTGCTACCAGTTGTTGCAGTCCATTTAAATCTAACGTTTACTGGGGACTGGAATTACTTAAGCCTGTCGAAGCCAATGGCAGAAGCGTTGCTAGTTCTCTGTTGGTGCACTGCTGCTTTTGCTACCTGGCCAACAGTGTGCGGTATGAGCTGGATGATGCAGCAGCTCAAATACAAAATGACTGAGCTAGATTTCCCCTTAGGAAAGTTTCATTCCTCTGATGTTTTATGTTCTCGTATTAAGACTTATTTTCAGTCATGGTGGGTATTTTTTGGTTTGGGTTTCGTTGTTGTTGTTGTTGTTTTAATTGTTTACCATGTTGCATATAGTGCAGTCAGACTTCAGTAGTTGCCATACACTTCATTCACATACCAAATTTAGTAACTTGAGATCTGGATGCGTACTGAGATCTTTTCTTTTCTGCCGTTTCCCACTATGTGATGTCCATTCCTTTGCTCTGTTAAGTCAGACTGCAGGTATCAGGTTTAATCAGCCACTGCTCACTGCTGCCTCAAGTACTCTCCTTGCTTGGTTGTAAGTATTTACCACGTTTACGTGCTAGTTGCCTTTCTGCACAATGTATGTACGCTTGCACTCCCTGTCCGCTCTGGTGCCTTCAGATCACAGTTGAAACAGTTTTGCTTTCTTGGGATTTTCTTGGGAGATGGAAAGATGATGTTTAGATTTGTCCTGTGTTTTCCAGGCCTGCAGAGTTTGGATATGCCATTGTTGAGTACTGGCTTTGACACTTTATGTTGCCAGAATGTGCTGGCTCAACTAGAAATGCTATCATGACAGCTTCTTAGCTACCATATGCAATCCAGTCCACCAACTGGCAGAATTCTGCCAGTTCTGGTAAACTGAGATGCTGGAGATGCAAATGGATTATATAGGCTTAGTGGGATTCTCAGCACAGAGATGTTTGCTTTTCCCTGGATGCTGCTGACAATGATTACAGCTGCCAGAGGCTTTATGTGCTGCTCTTTGAGAGCCTAAAAGCATGCTCATGTCCCTTATGTCACCCAGGTGTGGCCACCGTGAGGTATTTCCCTGCTTTTGTTGCAACAGCAGTTTTACGTGCACTTAGGACGTGTAGTTATTTAGGTTTTAGTACAGCGTTAGATTTCCAGAGTCAAAGTATTTATAGTTAAGCCTACTAATGTTTCGATGTTGAAGTTTTTGCTGATGCAAGCTAAAAAGGAGACAGACTAAGAGTTTGCTGTGATAATCAGTATTAGGTATGTATAAATGTCGTAATATGAACTCGTTGAGCGGGAAGATAATGCACACTGGTCATGTGAGTAACAGCATATCACACTTAAAAGCCAACAGAAATACAGTAGGTAACTCTTAAGGTGTGTGTTTCAGGTTCTTTGTATTGATGGATGCATGCGTGCTTGCTTTTTTTGCTTCATTGTGTAAATAAAGCAGCAGAACTGAAATGTCTTTCCAGTTTGAGCATGACACGCAAGCTTAACGTGTCACTCTGCGCTGGTGGGAAGAGAATGGTCGTGTTACTTTATACCTGATTTTGTATTTTCCTTCCCTTTTTACTTGTTAAAACTGATTATTTAAATGCTTTCGTTAACTTTATTCTTAAAGTCCCCAAAATGTATTGGTGCTTTCAACTTTATGAGTAGTCTGCAAAAGAAAGTAGGTTGCAAAACGATTCTGGCTTCATTTCTGTGAGATGCCTAATTTCTGAGTCATAACTGACTTTGACTTTATTTAAAAGTAAGAAAAAAGTGCTAATATCATTCTAATCCAAATGTAGTAAACCTCAAAGAGAGCAAAAGGTACTGTGCTGAAAAGCAGTCACTCCGTTCTGGAACGTGTTCACCAGTAGCAATGCACTTGTCCAGCAATCCTGAGTATTGCACATCTTTAATTTGTGCATTGAGGCCCTCAAAGCACACGGAGGACTGTTGGATTTGCCTTCGACCTGTATTAATTCAGCTGGATAGGCTCACTCTTATTACTCCTTTCTTGGTAGTTTAGGAGACTTGGTGGCTTGTTCTTCCCTGACTCGTCTGGGGTCTGTAAAGATGCAAGGAGTTGTTCTGTCTTGTCACCCTCAAGCTTAGTGTTCCAAAGGAGACTAAGGAGTAGTTGAATTGCAATTTGGTTGTTGGTAGTGATGTGACAGTCCTCTGGACTACTGGGCAAGAAGATGAAAGAAATATTGAAAGTAAACAGATATGAGAATATCAATCCAGCTTTTTGGGGGGAGCTTAATGAATAGGCTGCTGCTTTTTCTCCTCAATTAACATTATAAATTAGAGCATCATGGCAAAACACAAAATACATATTAAAAGCTTATACTGAATGTAGATTTTCATCATACTGTAGCATACAAACACTCGATGGGCTTTGAATGATGGTTCGAAGGATGGTTTGAAAGACTTCCCTTTGTTCTGTTAACTGGCCAGTTTGTGCTACCTAAAATTATCCAGACTGTTTCACTCAAATGGTCTTTATTACCTGCCAGTGGGACTTTATTTGATAATGCCCTGTAGCATTTGTTTTACATAGTCCACTGATGTTTTGCTGCAAATAAGCTACATGAAACGTAGTGTGTGTCTAAGGAGCAAAGTGTTTTCATGAGATAAGTGAAGGATGGTCAAGGTGAGACAGAGAATGATTGAACGTGAGATTTTTATGGGAGGCGTTCGAGGGACTCAGTAGTGTGATTTCAGTAGTTGATGGGAGGACTAAAAACAGGAAGATAAGGCTTCAGCAGTGTGGTGAATGAATGGACAGTAAGATGAAAATACTTATGTACACTGTTTTTTTCTGAATTTAAATAAGCATAAATAGATAGTACTATTACTAAAGAGACTGCTGAGTTATGGTGGTCAGAAAATATGTTTGTACATTGGTGCAACGAGCTTGCAAGACGGAATGAGAACTACTGGCATAAAATATAAAGCTCTGAAGTTACCAGAGTAGTATTAGACTTGCTATGCGTGGATTTGTTTACTAACAGATTGTCCATGACATTTCCCTGATAGGAGAGTGATGCTGTTTCAAGTGAGTTTTTTTGTAAGTATTTAACTTTAGTAGAAAAACTGTTTGTGGAAAATAACTTAGAATTGATTCAGTTTAAATGGAAGCATAAAGTTAATCTGTAGCAAAGATTCCTGATTTTTCAAATAGTGTTGAAAAATCCGGAGAGGAAATCAAAGTCAGCTGGAACTCAAGTTCAGAACTTCTGAAAGAGACTTGTAGTCCTGGAACTTTTTAAATTAACAATGCAAAAGTTTGGCTGTGCTACTAGCTCCAGATTTGGGCAAAAAGAGGATACACAGCTGTAAGGATTTATAGAAAGAGTTTTTATTCAGACCAGAAAAATTTTTTTAGACACGTGTTGGGCATCAGCCAACAAAGAAAAAAAAAATTCTGATCACACTCCCCTCCTGCTGCTGGAGAGAAGACGTATAAGGGGAATGTGAGAACTTTTGGGTTTAAATACAACCCAGCTTTCAGTAGACTGAATAGAAACAACTGCATAAGGTTCAGGGATCTTAAATGAAGAATCTAAGACAGGGGTGGGACCTGACCTGTGCATGCTTTTGATGTTACAGTTAGATTTACATTTGCTCAGCTTTCTTTTCCGTTTCAAATATTTAAGTGTTAGAACCAGGGGAAATCTTCCTAAAGGAGTTCTTGGGGCTGATCTTACTACATTACATTAGAGACTATGAGTGTTTGAAGAACTTGCTGATGAGAAAAAACGTAGGAAGGCATCTTCAAGGTAGAGGAGGAAAGAGCAAGTACTGGATGACTTTGGGGACTCTCTAATTATAGAAGAAATTCTGTATGTAAAATGCAAGGTCATGCGAGTTTCATAAAAATGATTTTAAGTCCTGCTTCGAATCTCTGGATGTCTTCTCTCTGGAAGACGTTCTGATCAGCTGCAAATGTGAAGCCAGTATCTTACTCGAGCTACACTAATTCTACAGATGTCCTGGTTTTGCAAGGGAATAGATGAGATTCTGTTTGTCCTCCTAAGTGGTAGCAGAGCTGTCTGTGAGAATTTTGGCTTGTTCTTTCTTTGAATGTGTAAAGCTGCATACGGAAACGGAAGTAATTCCGGTATAACTCCTCCTGCTTGGTCAGAGGGGTTTGAGAAAGGAGGCCCTTTGGAGACAAAAGCTTAGACTTGTGTAAAACCTCACATGAAGCAGAGTGCATGAATTCTCAGCTGAGCCCTTCTCCCGTATGAAGTATCTTTACTTGTTGCTATAGCCAGTCTTTCTGGGAAAACATAATAAATACTGCTTTACAGTAATACTAGCTGTGGCATTTTGCCTTTGTTTCTACAAAGAATTTATAAATATGTGATGTACTTGAAGTGAGCATCTGTTATGCCATGTGGATATACTTGGTAAACACAGGATTTCTCAGTACCATTTAATAACTGTCTGCAGAGACATGAGTTAACAGGGCTACAGCTGAGGAGGTCCATGACTTACAGGAAGGGCCCTGTTCTTGTGTATCAGATATCCAATGGCAAATGATCAAGGAGGGTGAGGGGAGGAATTAAGAGTTCTCTGATTTCTGACAACTTGTACAGAAGCCAAGAACTCTTTTCTTTCATTTTTGGAGTTGAAAATATTTCCAGTGGAATCTTAAAACTTATTTTGCTTAATTTCCAGCTTCAGTTAATTTTCCATGGTATCGTTATTAGAAGGACAGAGATCCGTGAACAAGGAGTTCAGTCTCTCTTTTTGTTAATGTTTGCAGCTCAAATCCAATCCCAGCAGTAATGAGGAAAAAGAAGCCCAGTCTCAGCTGACAAAATCGGATGAGCTACAGCGCCTGCATGCACAAGCATTGTCTGCCTACCAGCAAGAGGATTATGAAGGCGCTGTTTCTCTTCTTGATGAAATCTTGGCAGTAAGTGTTAAGTGAACTGGTACTGTGAAAGGGAATTAAGAGCTTTCATCTGAAATATGTGGATTTTTGTTGGAATAACTTCTTCACCAGCATGAAAACAGTTGGGGTAACTGGCTCAATTTTGCTGACCACTAGCAGTCCAATGATGTTGGAGAGTGGAGAACGCCGAGCACTAGCTGCAGCTAAGCCAAACTAATGGATCACTGTAGTTAGAATTAAAGGCATGATTTCAGCCCAACTTATGTTGCAGATAACTCTCTTGATTATCCTTTCCCTTCTTCCATGGTTCAGTATTCTTGGGGAAGTTAGGAAAAAAGGTACTCTCAAAGCAATGCAGTTTTGGCAAATAAAGAAGGTGGTGTTTCACGTTTAGGCTTTTCTTAGGCTATATGCAGGCAATTTTTGTGTCAAAGCTGATAGGTAGATCTCCACTGTGGAGTGGGTACTTTCTTCTCTTGAGAAAATGAAGTAATGAAAGGTCAAAGTCAAAGTGTGTATAGCTATCTGTATTCTCAGCTTGTTCCTCAGATATCTATATTTGTCGATGAGCCCCATTCAGCAAAGGTAGTCTGATAGTCTGTTAAGTGTGAAAACTCAACCATGTAAACATCTTGTCTTACCGAAATATGTATTAAAAGACGGTTAACTGCTATAACTTTTTACATGCAAATTAACGTTGTTGATTTGGGATTTCTGATGAACTTCTGTCTTTCGGTGAAGAAACTGCCAAAGTTTGCTTATGGAGAGAAGCATGGAAAGCTGAAGATTAAAAAAAAAAAAAAAAAAAAAAGTCTCGTTCTCTAAAACCATGGTTTAAAAACAAATGATCAAACCATAAGTAAATACTATCAAATGAATTATGCAAGGCAGTTTGTTGCAAGTAATTATCCTTGGCGTTAACTGGCATAGTTACTTCTGTATAAATCTTTAAAATCCAGATACTGAGGTGAAATCTTGCATAGCTGAAGCTTACCTGCAGGCTTCTACCTGCAAGACAGCTGACAGCTTGGTTCTTGCTGTTCATTTCCTCCATTTTTTTTTGCAGAGATACAGTAATTCATGATTCTTGAGGCTCAGCAGACTGCCCCAGTTTAAGCAGTGCCAGTGGATTTAATTCATCTCCCTGCATGAGCTCATTGAATCATTAGAATTTTTTTCAGGCCTTTGTTTTCTGTTTGGCCAGGTGCATCACAGCGTCCGCTAGGAAGCAGAGATGCTAATTTCATGTGCTCTGCATGCCGCTTGAACCTTATGCTATTGCAGTTGGCAAAATGAAATTAAGTGGGACTTTTCTTTGGTGGAGGGGAAAGACGTGAAGTATTTATGGACCAAAGTCAAGCTTTCATTTTGATTTCTCAAGGTTTGTGTTTGGGATGCAGAGCTACGGGAGCTTCGAGCCGAGTGCTATATAAAGGAAGGGGAACCCAGTAAAGCCATTAGTGACTTGAAAGCTGCTGCCAAATTAAAGAATGATAACACTGAAGCCTTCTATAAAATCAGCAGAATATATTATCAGCTTGGGGACCATGAGTTATCACTCAGGTAATTTTACTGTTTGTTGTAATTGTAAGAATTAAGACAGAAAATGTAATGTAACAAACTCCATAGTTCATGATAAAAGCCACGAAATATCCATGTAGTTTTTTGGGATGGAGTAGCAGCTCTAGTCTGAATCTGACCCTCTGCAGACACCGAGAACTGGCAGTGAAGGCACTATGCTTGTTCTTTGCAGACCAACCATCAATACTTCCTGGCCTCTTGTTTTACTGAATGAATGCCATAGTGCAAGTCTACTAGAGTTGCTTACGTTTACTGTTTTTGTTTTTTTTCTCTTTCCTGGAAGAACGTGCTTCTCTGAACTTGCTTTGGTGGAGAGTTTCTTCTGTTTTGTTTCCCCTGAACCTTGACTCAAGCTAGACTTACTGTACAAGCAAAAGTAAGGCTTAGGCTCAGGCTGTTATTTTTGAGAGTGGAAACAAATGGTTATAAGTTTTTGTTTGTTTGTTTTAAACAACAACAACAAAAAAACACCACACAGCAGTATCCCTGTATGAAGAGTTGGGGATTCAGAGCTAACAGTCTCATTTTTGCTGATGGCTTTTAGTACTTTGGATGTTGTTTGTAACCTTTTACCCTTTTATTCCCCTTCAGTTAGGTTTAAGTGTTACTCCCATATGTCCCTAGTCAGTCCCGTGGGATAACTACCCTAGCCAGTCCAGCCTGTTCAGTTCATATTCCTTGAGCTCAGCTGAGACATAGGGTATAATCCTGTTGTGTTACAAATGGGTGATTTCTGTGATGCTCAAGGTCTCAGATGCGTTAGCTGCATCTCTAGAGTTCTCTTTCCAGTATAGTTTCTGCCACTGAACCCGTTCAGTAGGAGGTGAGGGCAATTGCAAAAGCCTCAGCTTCTGTCTTGTTTTGGCCGTGTGTGACAAAGGCAAATGGGTGCAAACGGCACATAACTGTAGTTACATGAGTTTATTTTTTACGTAGGCAAAAATATGTGTTTTCATCTTAGTAAATACCACCTAGCTTGTGTTAGAGATCCCTTTTCTAGAATATATTTCATCTCTGGAGAGATGAAATAGCCCTCTAGCCCTCTGTCCTGTGAAATCACACATGGACTTCCTGTACTAATAATCAAATCTAAGATTTTTTTTAAACGCACTTGAGAGAGCTACTTGAATAATAGGATGGTGTTACAATGGAAGAATATGCATCTTTCCTTTATGCTTCTGATACTACTTTTTGCATAAGATGTACTAAGAAAGGGAGAAGTCTGGTAGCTCTTGGATTTAGTGGGTAATTAATCTCATCTTTCTTCTTCCTTCTTCCTTTAGTATTTTCTTTCCTTGCTTAAGTTTGTAAAGTCGTTATGAGCAGAGTAGCATTTTGTTACATTTTTCTGAAAATACCACCTTAGTTGTGTAATGATGACTCTGTATGAATGCAGTCTGGAGACCACTGTCTCTTTAAAAGGATACCTACCTTAATCAAGACCTGATTAAACAGTCTTCAGAGTGAAAAATCAGGCTCTGACTTGGTTGATATTCCATGAAGTGTAGAGTTTTGGGTCTTACCTGAGCTTGCTTTGTTTCAGGCAGTGTAAAATATGCTTATGTGCAAGTTTGCTTTAAAAATATCCAAGTTAAACATGTAGGAAAATTACAAATGATTGTATCTGCTAAATGCTGGGTATAAATTATTTCCTAGGGCATATTTTTCTTCTACTGTTTATTGTTATTAACTCTTTTGCAGTTTTGTAATACTTGGCAACATAAAATAATTAAAAGCAACAATGAACCAATGTTCCCTGTGTTCAGGAAGGCTCTCTTTTCCCTCACTTTAAATTCATGGAGTGAATATTTTTGCATGAAGGAGAGAGAGCGTGCAAGGAAGTCAATCATTGTTCTGGGTAGCTTATAGATACTGCATTGTGTCTTTGTATGAAATTCCATAATGTGTGGTGTTTTTTGTGTGTGTTTTTTGTTTTTTCCCCTCCTCCATGTGAAAAGTGAAGTCCGGGAGTGTCTGAAACTTGACCAAGACCATAAGCAATGCTTCTCTCTCTATAAACAAGTAAAGAAACTTAATAAGCAGATTGAATCAGCTGAAGAACTCATCAGAGAAGGCAGGTAGGTGTTCATTCTATAGAAAAAGATCACTACTGAGGCACCAGTTTGTTACTGACTGAAGAGCTGTTTGAGTGGTTTTTTGCATCTATTGATTGAAGTGGATAAATGAACACAGCTCTCAAATTTTAATTAAAATAAATATTGACTCATATAGTGACAACCCTTTTTTGAATCCTTCTGGTGCCTCTGTCTTACCTTTGCATATCTAACTTCTTTGTGGAGAAGATAGTTAACACCAAGATAAGGATGTCTGTCAATTCTCTGACGCTGCAGGACCGTATCTTCAGACTTCTGTCTTAAAGATATACTGCTGATTTACTACTACTCTTGGTCTAAAGACTAGTCTTTCATTTAACCCGGTGTCAGCGTGTTTTCAGGGAGCCATCCAAGAGCTAAAAGCTTGAGTTGTTTCTAGCTTGTAGCAACCCATGAGTTCTGTCACTGCATACACTAGCCTTTTTAGGTGATACGTTCTAATGCATGTCTTGTCAACTGTTGAACTTCAGCCGTCTTAAAACTCTTACAGCAAAATATATTTTACTATGTGACTTGCTGAGAGAAAGGTGGAAAAAAATTCCAGCTGCCTGGTTCAAACTAGCGTCAGGAAACTTTTCTTTCCTGTCCCAAAAAGGCCAAGTAATACAGTGCTCAGAACATATTGCCTGTTCTTGTGTCTTACAGCGCAGAAAAATGAATGGCAATGTAACTCTTAAAAGTGGCTGAAAGTTTTCTTCATAGTGCTGCCTTGCACCAGACCTCTAAGGCTGTTACAGTTAAGACATATTGCTAGAAGGATGTGAAAGTCTAAATTTCTGTGACAGCAGTCTGAAATAGTTATTAAACTTCATGATACCATGCTCATCTCTGATTAAAACAGGTATGAAGATGCTATCAGTAAATACGATTCTGTAATGAAAACTGAGCCAGAAGTCCCAATTTATGCTACTCGTGCCAAGGAAAGAATCTGCCACTGTTTGTCAAAGGTAATTTAGACGGACAGAGAAGTAGAATTTTAATTTAAATGAATAAATAAAGCACAATTTGGATTTTTCACCCTTCTCTTTAGAATCAGCAGGCTATAGAAGCCATAAAAGTTTGTGCGGAAGTTCTTCAGCTGGAACCAACCAATGTGAATGCTTTGAAAGACAGAGCAGAAGCTTATTTATTAGAAGACCTATATGAGGAAGGTACAGTTACGTACTGTTCACGCGTACATTTTGGGGGCCTTTAAAATGCAGTCAGCGTTGCAGAAATTTTTAACATGCACTTTAATTCTACGCTATGGTTACACTTCTAGTCAGTGCTGCTAACCAGATTTACACAAATACCTCCTGTTAAATTTGTCTTGACTAGTTTAAGTGGTTTGGGCTTGGTTTACCTGCAGCAGAGTTGTCTTTAAAACAGTGGGTTATGTGCAGGATGTTTTAGGAAGGGATACAGCTTACTCACTTAAATACATGTTAAATAATCAGCAGTATCAGAGAATTGCGTTAATAAGTAAATGGTAACTGTAGTAAGGGTCATATAAATCTATTGGGAGGGCTCTGTTTTAATGGATGTGCTAGGTGAGTGCTTGGAGAAATGGAAGTACATAACAGTATAAAAAACTGTTTTCTCCCCGATATTTTTTTCAGTGCCGAGGAAGAGATCAGCCACTGTTTCACCTCCCTCGGTCTCTGTAATGTTGCTAGGAGCAGTAATCTGAATCCGCTCTTGAGACTGCCTTTCCTATACAGGATTTGCATAAAGTGTGTACTAGTGTATATTCCTATGTCGTGCCTGCACACTGGCAGCCCTTAAAATGGGACTGTATCTAGTAGTCTGAAACACAGCAAGAACAGCAACAAGCACTTCTAAAAAGTCACTGTCACTAAATTTCTGGTTTTCTGAGAAGTATAAGGGATGATGAATGTACTGGGGTGAGGGGGGAACCCTGAAATGCTTCACTGGATGTTACTTGTGTCACGGGGAGTCAAGTTACATAAACTGTAATGCATGTGCAGCTATTACTGGTGTCAGTTTTAGGGGAAATGACTGATTCTGTTAACAGAACTGCAAGAGGGGCACAGTGCCCTGCGTGGAAAGAAGTTACTGTGGAGCCACACTTTGCTTGAATTGCGGAATTGTGCTGATGAGGCACAAGGGAGGGATCTCACAGGGCCAGACCCGGAAAAGCAACTAAATGGTGTTATGAGCAGGGTGAATGATGATGCTGACTACAGACAGAAGCAGGTGGCATGAGAAGGTCCTGGTTCGTAGTCATGCTTCTTTCTGCTGCTCTCCATGTGGTCCATGATGCTGGAGCTGAGGTTCAGGCTTCTCTGGGTATCCTTTTGGCTGCCTGAGTAGCTGGCTCCCCGCTGGGCTTCCCCCATGCTGCAGCAGGCATGCTTGCTGCTGAAACTTGCCTGCATAAGCAGCCGTAGCAGTATTTATTTTCCAAGCTGGTAGCAGCTATAGCCCTGTGCCTTTTAACATCAAGAAGCCCTCTTCCCTTCCAAAGGGCGTTAGCAAGGTGAGAGATAGCCGTTTTTTCTCTCAGAGCAGCCCTGTTCATTTCCTGTGACCTGTGAAACTAAAAATCAACTCTAGAGCAGGAAAAGTGGCAAAAGAGGTGAATCTTTGAGCATTTAATTTGTTTTTGCTTTCTCTCTGGGATTTTCTTGCCAGCAGTATCTGCTGAGATCATGCTAGACTTGTTGACCATTCCTCACTTCCCAAAAGAGTGTACTATGGGAATGTTAGTTGGTCCCATCTACAGGAAAGTAGGGACTGACTAACTAGTGTCATTGAGTGAACACCATTACATGGTTTTGTAGCCTCTTTAAGAGTGCGAAGTGCTATTGTGATATAAGAATCTTCAAAATTTAATGTAGTGAATCCTGTTTCCATGAGGAAGCCCAGCCAAGAGAGACTTGGACAATCTGTGTTTTCTATCCCTCAGTGCTCGCTAATGCAGTAGTTCTTTGAAGCCTTGGACTGTTTCAGTCAAATGTGATAAGGGATAGGACTTGTAGGCCTTAGATCTGCTGGAAAACTGGTTCCATTAATGCTCGTAGAACAATTTTCCTTTTCCATTTTCTGGTACTGGATCTTTAGCTTCACAACTGAGCAAAAATCTCTCAATTTAAACATTCACGAAGCAGCTGTTGTCATTAATAACACACTTGGTTTTCTTTTTTTTTTGTCTTTTTGAGAAACTAAACACTGAAAGTTGCTGTTGTTCACCTTTTCAAATGAATTTCAAAAGAAGGACATCTATTTTCTTTTCTTAGGCCTCCTTGATTCAAGTGCCTGAAAGTGAGGTAAACAGGGCTGGTGCTGTTTCAGGCAGTCCTGTTCAACGGCCGTCTAGAGCGTATGCCCCAGAAGTGACTTGGTGGTGAAAAAGTCCTTCTCTGCTGAGGCTGGCAAGCCTTCTTCCTCCTTGTAAGAAAAAGGGTGAAAAACAGCAGCATTTCTGAGAACTGATGGCCTCTTTTTCAAAGGACTTGAATTAAAAAAAAAAAAGTGTGCGAGGGGGAGGGCTATGCCAGGATTGTCTTTCTGTGTTTCTTAGGGTAGTGAAAGGGTGGTTTTTGTGGGGGTGTGTTTTTTCAGTCTATTGATTATTTAGAACTGCAGTGTCAGTGTAAAAGCAAGTCTCGAGAGGACTTCACGGTGATAATGCCCCCTTCAGGCATTTCTCCATCTTCCTCTGTACTTTGGAAAATTCATTCACTGTTGGGAAAATTGGGTTTACAAATGAATAAAAAGCCCTCCCTAAAAATAGTTTGAGATGCAGAAGACAAATCTGCAGCAGATTGCAGCTTGTATGAAGGGTTCTGACTGAAGAAAAAGGTGCACTGATAAAGGACGGCCACAGAGAAAATTAAGGATTTTTCCCCTCAGGTTTATGTATCTTCAACTTAAAGAGGTACAGGAAGGGGAAGCGAAACAGACCCTACCCTCTGAGAGTCCTCTTGGTAGGTGTATCTTGTGGTTCTTACAAGTGGATGGAATTGATCTGCTTGTTTTCTTCTACGTTCGTGAACCTGAATTTGGATCTTTTTAGCATTATCCTCCGCATCTACTTCTGGTTCCTCTAGGGTGAATGTCTTGCAAACTAGAGATAAAAAGTCTTATGACAAGGTAAAGCACAAATGCACAGAGCCAACTCAGTGTTGTGCTGGAGCAAACGCCTCCTTGTTATGGTATATAAGGAAGCATGGTGAGGACACCTGGGAGCTGGCTGAGCTTATTTCCAGGGCTGGAGCCTGCTGTGCTCGGCCTGGCCTGGCTCTGTGCGGAGGATCCTGCCGGCATGGAACAGGCTCCCCCCAAATCCCTCTTATTCAGTGTATCCCTGCCTTCTTCCCAGCCTTGACAACAGCAAGATGGCTGCACTTTCCAGTGGAGCTGCAATAAAAAAAGTTACAGTTCATTAACGTTAATCTGCCTGAAGGTGTCTTCATTTATCCTTCAGTGTTAACTGCTATAAAATGATGGCTGATTTTTGTGAAGAAATTAAATGATAGTCTCCGTGGTATTTAAAGGGGTAAACTGATTGTCGTTCTTGAGAAAATTTCCAGATGGAGGCACCTATTTTCCTTTGTAAAGACAGGAAATTTCAAAGTACTTATAACTCAAAAATTTGAAGGAGATTATTGTTAAATGTTCAAGATGCAATTCCGAATGTATAGCTGAGTTCTGATTCCTGTCAAATGGTTTTAATTACTTTATAATCACGTGGGATGCAGGGCTTATGTATAAAGACAAATATATAATAAATCCCTTTCTGGCTTACCGCATAAGTACAGGAGTCCAGGTTTTACCAAAGGGGAAAAAAAAAAAACCCACCATATTTATTGCTTTACTTCAAAATTGCTCAGGAAATTCTTCTTTTTCCCCACCTCACTACAGTGAAGGAGATGGTTTCTACCTCAGATAAGAGCATCGCTGGTTCAGTTATTCCTGTCACAGAATCAGCACAGACATGTTGTCTGCGTTTACTCGTGTTTGATAGAAAAGTAGTTCTGCATATGGAATAACGGCCAGTCTTGGTCACTTTTATCTTAAAAATTCAGGCCAGCTATGAAAGCCAGCTAAGATGATTAAAGATACATAGCGATTTGCATTTGAGAGATTGTAAAGACTTGTAGTGAAAGGAGGAGGGTTAGATTTGAGTGAAGTATTTAAATGAAAAACTGGTTTCTCCTTTAATGTTGTGGGATGGTATGAAAGGAATAAGGGATGCTCCCTGAAATAAGAGGCTGTTAAGAAGTGATGATCCTTGTGTAAGCTTGTGAGTTATTGCTGCTTTTAGAAACAGTGCTTGAGAGGAACTGATTAGCTCAGTTAACATACCCTGAATTAGTACTAAGAGTCTCTTGTTTTTGTAGCAACCTTTTTGTGGTCAAGGAAGCGGTATCCTGCTTTAGATACCCCTGTTCCCGTGCTAGACGTCTTAGTGGTGGGAAGGGATTAGTCCTGTGAAACAGGAAACAGGTTCCTGCACTGGAGAATTTGCATCAAAATTTGCATTTCCTCCCACTGAGAGAAAGTGCAAAATGTAATTGGCATCAAGTGTGCTGGATATGCTTCCTCTGAGGTGTGCAGCAGTATAAAACATACCTAACCACATGCTTAATATTTGTAGTCTAAGTGGGTCACTTCTTAAAAAAAGGGAAAGCTAGTACTGTCAGCTCAAATATGACCCCTAGGCAGCTTGGTTTCCAGCAGTGGAGCACGCTGTCGATGATGGGATGCTCAGTGAAGTTGAGCAATGTGATACACGTTCATCAGGACTTTGCAGTGGGACCTCCTCTTATTACATGAAGCAGATTAAGTACGCTGGTGTTTAGAATTATTGGGGCGGTAAAGCAGCATGATGAAATCCTTGGATTTTCATTGTTTCTTTATCAGTTCAGCAGCATGTGTAAGGCATGCGCATTGGTATAGGCTTCTGTTTTTTAAATGACTGGACAAATTGTTGAAAATAGCAGCAGAAAGCAAAATGCAAATCAGAATGCCCAGTGATGTGAAAATGAACAGGAAGTTTGTGTTTTGTTTGTAATAGCGTATAAAATTGTTGGGGCACTGGAAATACATTCAGGATCTTTTTCAGTAACCAAAACAAGGTTGCAGTGGTATCGGATGTCTGAGTAATACAAATTCATTAGCGCTTCCTGCTGTCTTGCTCAGCAACAGTGAAAAACAAATGTAACACCTGCTGAGAAATGGCATCTGCTTGGAAATAATCTGATGCAAGTACTTTGTCTAACTCAGAAAACCTAGGAGACTTGGATGGCAAATGAGACTTTCAGGATTATAACAGTGAAAGAAGAGCATTCTCATTAAATAGAATTTAACAGTTTTTCTCCTTGATGAATATTGGTATCAAAGAATACTTAAAATTTGTATCTTATGTCTTCAGTTATCACTTATTATTAATAATATTTTACTTCAAAAAAGTATAGAAATAGGATCTTTCTCCAAAATGCACAAAAGCATTACAACACCTCCCTTGTTTTCATTCCTTAGAAATTGAATTCTTAAAATAGAAGCAGGAGAGCATGTCTTTGAAATAAGAATTTAAAATTAACTCTCTGCCTATTATATATAGGCATAAAAAAACAATAGTTCATTATGTCTTTAACAGTGCTACATAATTAGTGTTATGTAAATGAACATATAGGTAATCTGAAATCCATGTTTATTGTCATTGAAGAGGAGGATTTCTGTTGTGTGGACTGAGTACACAGAGAGGAAGAAATTTTAATATGAAGATTTTGTATAATGCATTCTTCAGTTGCACAGCAGTATTTGGGACTGATTCATTGTGAATTTGGCTCTTCAAATACTGGTGGTTGAAACTTGCTGCTTGATTCCTGTTACCTCTTGGTTCCAGAGGCTCTTACATTCATCCCTATGACTTTGCAACATCTAAAGAGAGTTCTGACCTGCTGCAAGTAACCTCCCTCTTCTTCCTCCTTTTCCAGAAAGTATGAGGAACCTAAAGAGAGAAAACCGTCTAATGTATAGGTGAAAGATATAACTTTCTCTGCCCTAGGATTTTCTTATTTGGAGGGGAGGGGAACCCTTTTCAATTTAACGTCTGAAAGTTGTGCTGCTTATAAGCTGTAATAAAAAAAAAAACTTCAGTTTTGGAGATAGCTTCAATTCTTTAAACTTTGGTTTAAGAAGTTTATGTAATTTTTTTTTCACTCTCTTTTTCTGAAAAGCTATTAAAGACTATGAAACGGCTCAAGCCAATAGTGAAAATGACCAACAGATTCGTGAGGGGCTAGAGCGAGCCCAGAGGATGCTGAAGCAATCACAGAAAAGAGATTACTACAAAATTTTAGGTGTAAAAAGGTAAGAGATTAATACCTGGTGTGTTTACCTGGAAGCTGGTTATTAAACCAGTACCTTTAGGACTGATCACCTGAATTTGCTGTGCTGCATGTTACTTTTCATTCATGTGTCTCTACTGTCTTTACTTTCCTATTGCACTAGCTTAGCTGTTGAAGCGTGGGGATGGGAAGAGGGAGGACAGTGTCCAGCTTTAAAGGAGTTTTAAACAAATGCTACTTAATGAAAGAACACCCTTGAGAAGGAAGGAAATCAGGAAGAAATTTGTATTAGAATTGATCAACAGTAAGGTTAACAAATTGAGGAAAAAATGAAGATTGAAGCTGGAAATGATTATGAAAAGCAAAAAAAAAAAAAAAAAAAGGGTGGTAGATACTATGGTAGACTGGGTGAGTTTGAAAGGACTGGTTGAAAGAGATACCTAAAAATGCTTCTGCCATTAACCTAGAGAAACTAATGACTTATTTTTAATGACAACAAACTAGATGTTCCATTCTGAACTAGTATTGGTAACCCCTCTAGTCGTGATCTAATTCAGTCTTTCTGCTTTTTGTGTCTCATTTCTTTGCAAGTTCTTCAGACTGGGAGCCGTATTCTGAATAATAGTTCCCAATAGCATCTTTCCAAAGAAAGTAGATGTACTCATGGTGGAGGAAAGAATAATTTTTATTTAGAGTAGCAACCCGTTTCCTCTGTTTTTTGTACAAAGTGGCTCGAGTACCATCTGCAAAATATTAACTATTAACCTCTTAATTTTCTTGAAGCCCTTAATTCTGTTTTATTATTTAAAATAAACCTGTAGATTCAGTGGTGTGACACATGAGCAATAAGAAAACTTGTACATTATCTACGATTTTATCCACCTAGAAATGCTCGAAAGCAAGAAATCATAAAAGCTTACAGAAAACTGGCATCCCAGTGGCATCCTGATAACTTCCAGAGTGAAGAAGAAAAGAAGAAAGCAGAGAAAAAGTTCATTGATATAGCAGCTGCTAAAGAAGTCCTCACTGACCCAGGTAATGATTGTTCATATGCTGTGGCTTTGTTTTTTTTACATCAGTGTAAAAACACAGCGAATGTAGGTCTTAACAAGTGTTAACAGCTTTTTTCCCCCCTCTCCGCATATCTGTTTTGAGAAAGCAGTGCACAAATTGGATGCATCCATCTGTTGCCTGAAGTCAGATAAAAATTTACTGGATTCTTCCTGATTTTTGGACTGTGCTTCTATGTCAGTCTCCTATTGTACCTTTTGTCCCACTCTTTTGACCAAGAATGTTAAGTCTTGAAAATGAGGGTTAATTACTTCTCTGAAGCTAGTTCTGAGTTTGCATTTTGTTGTTTGTCTGTCACAGATATACTGTAAGGCATAAGGTTGCAACCAGATGCTTTCAGTCACCAGAGGTAGATTTTAAAGGACTGAGTAACAACCTGGAGTTTTTATTGCGTTTCAGTGACTTTTGTTTTAAAGACAAATAAAAAAAATTCTTTTAGAGGTCTCTTTCTACCATATAATCTTGCAGAAGTTCCTGGCACTGCCCAGTTCTATTGCAAACTAAATTTACATAGACAGCCCCTGAAGTACTCCAGAGAAACCCTCAAAACTGGCCTTTTCTTGTTGTATCATAGCCTGGCTGAGCACTGCCCCAGGAGTGGAAGACTGGGTTCTCGGTTCCCTTCAGCCTGGACTAGGGCCTGATTCTTTGGGCTAGCCCAGTCCCCAGGAGCGAGGAGGCCCCTGTCTGACCTGCCTGTTTGCTGGTCAGCTTTTGGGGAGAGGGAAAGGAGATAATGCCCTCTGGGAGACCCATGGTGCAGTGACTAGGACATCCAGCCCATCCCACCAAGAGATACATTGAAGCAGTGGCCCGATTAAGTGTGAAGTTTTTTATAGACAATGGGGTGGCAAGATTATCTCACTTCCCCTGGAGCGGGGGAAAAAAAAAAACATCAGACAAGGCAGTCTGTTACCTTTCTGTCTTGCTCTGTTCCTGGATGGTCACTAGAAAGAGAAATGCACGAATGAGGCAGGTATCAGAAGATCCTGTTTAATCTTCATCAACTCTTCAGGGTCAGCCAAGTAATAATTAAGCAGATGGGCTCAAACTTTCTTGGAGCAAGGAGGGAGCTAAAAGTAACAAACTGCATTACAAACACTTTTGGTTAGTAGAAAACCGTATTCTGTGTTAACGTGTTTTTTTTTTTTTTGCTCGTAGTTATGTATACGTATTAGGGGGTTTATATGTTGGTAGCATTTCAGATGCTGTTTACCCTGTCAGCATCTCCAGAATATGTTCATCTGCTTTCTCCTTGGAGTTGTTCCTGATGTCATGTTTACTGTTCCTGTCAAACCAACTGAGCAAAAAAAAACACTGGTCATACTTGCCTTTCCTGATGAGTTTCTATCTGCATTGCATTTGGTCTCTTTTTTAACTGGAATGTCTTTCTCTTCCTTTCTTCTAAATATTTTTCCTGCTCACTTTCTGGTTCTAATGAACATGTAGTGTAAGGAGACACCAGAAAGCCTGTGGACCTGTGACTCTTTGAGCTTTTATTTGCACGGTTGTTGTCATGGGGCTCTGGTTGACTTTGCTGGAGGCCGTCTTCCACGGTTGCCCCTTCTGGTCACATTATTTCTCATCTCACTGACTCTGCTGCCGCCTTCTCCGACTTGTCCATGGAATGAGTCTCCTGAAAAGTACCAGACAGTCAGAAACCTCGTAGGATTTGCAGGGCCTGTGGGCTGCTTGCAAGTTATATCCAGGTGTAAACTACAGAGTAGTGAGTGGGATAGACTCTGACTTGTCTGCAGTCTTTGGGCCTTGGGGAGGGCTTTGAATTTTTGCCTCTCTGGACTATGCAGATACTAAATTACCTCAGGAAGATGCTTTTTGGCTTCAAGCTCTGCCATCCCCCATGCAGCTCCCAGCATAAACAGCATATGAGGAAGACTGAAAAAGTTTGGGGCTCTGCCCGCTGACCTTCATACTATTGCTTGACTAATCAATTTTGCAGTATAGTAGTTGAGGAAGAGTAGTTGGGAGGATACAGCATGCTGTGTTCCCTGACCCATCCTGAGTGGGTGTGCTAATGGGAGAGCAAGTCCAACGCACTCAACAAGGACAAAACGTTCCAGTTACTTGTGGGACGTAGTTGGCCAAAGTGTGGCTGTCCCTGTTGAAATTCACATACATCCTATTGGGCATATGTAGGCAGCTGCTGTCTCTTGATTCTTTAAAGGACTGACTTGAATCAAATTTTACTGCAGTGTTGTAAGGCTCTTTTTTTTTTCCCCCTCTACCAGTCTCCTGGACACTTTGAAAATCAATGCATCTATAAATAGACGGGTTCCCCCAAATGCTATTAATGCGAGTTGTCATTGGCCCTGAGGGGTTTCTGAAATGGTATTAAGTATCGGTCATCAGAGATGCTTTGTTTTAAATGGCCTAATTCCCTGTGCCATGTTTTCACCTTGTTTTTATGTTTCCTTCAGAAATGAGGCGGAAGTTTGATGCGGGAGAGGACCCTCTGGATGCAGAGAGTCAGCAGGGTGGGGGCAACCCTTTCCACAGGAACTGGAACACGTGGCAAGGATTCAACCCCTTTGGTTCGGGAGGAGGACCATTTACATTCAAATTTCACTTCAGTTAAGAGCCAGGACTGTTTTTGGTGGCTGCTGCTGTTTTTTACTTGTTTAAAAATAAAAAAGTCTCTCAGTTCAAGACCCCAAATCGTAATTTCTGATGTTGTCCTTAACCCAGAGTCTTACTATATTAGAAGAAAGCGTAGCTCTTTCTTTTAGTATTCACAGGGTTTGCTTTGTGGTGAACTTGACAGGCTTATACTGGTGGGTGGGTTGAATAAGGGTTGTTTTTTTTTAACTGCTTATGTATTTGTTGTGGGTATGCAGGAAATCTTTATTCCTATTGATGAAAAAACAGTAAGAGGCTACTTAGGACAACACCTAAACATATCCTTAGGACTTAAATATATGCTTAAAGGTAAAAATGCATGTAAATACTTTTCTGAATCAAAGCCTAATAATCATGGAAAGGGTAGTTATGATACTCTCTGTGTTAACAAATTGTTAGTTGTGCTCGGCAGAATTATCCATCTCTCAGTATCCCTAAAAGGAAATCCTGGTGGCCATCTGCTGTATTACTGTTGGCAGTGCCATAGGTAGGGTGAAGAGGCTGCTACAGAAGGAGTCTAAACAGTCTTTTCTAAAGAAGAATGTGTGTAAGTAATGGGATTTGAAAATGTCGGCTTGCTTTATTCATTAACTTTTAATTGATTGGGATGCGTTCCTTGGCAGTAATTGTCAAATATGAAAGTAAAAAATATACCTGACTTGTGGTTTTTTTTCCCTCTAATAACTTTTTCTGAATGTAATTTGGGAAGCTGCAGTATCATTCTCAAGTAGTTTGTACTTTTTTAACACAGCAGCTGCTTGAGATATGAGCAAATCAGTGTAATGTGACATTCCCCCAACTATGCAGCAGTCTGACTTCTCCGTGTTGTTACACATAAATTCAGAACCAATACAGGTTGTGAAGTGAGAGTACTGTGGGCTGTAGGAATAAAATATTGCCTCTAGTCTTCCCCCTTTTTTAAAAAACTTCATTTCTGCTGGGTGACACAACAGTGAACTAATGCAATTGTTTGAAGTAGTTTTGTATTTTGTGTAACAGCTAGTACTGCAAAAACAACTGCCTGTGTACAGAAAGTGACTAACTTTCTATTAGCCAAAAGTCTGATTTTATTTTCTGTGTATACACTGAGCTAAAATTGGTTTAGTGTATTGATGAGACTGCGTGTGCACATGAGTATGAGGTATTACCAGGATTGTAGTTGCTATTGAGTGAGGTAGTCTGTTCATTCTGTAATTGAACATGTAACAGTGGTTATTGATGACTTTCATCAGCAACCATTTTCTTAACATGACAGAATTACAATTCATTAATGCTTTTTGATTTTGAATTGTAGTTGGAAAACAATAATCAATTAATAGGAATCTTCCCTCTCCACAACTCATTGCATTTAAAAGCATAAGCAGCCTCAGTAAAACACAGAAAAAGAGCAAATAAGGCCTGCAATCTGAAAACTGTTTTTATTACTCCAAGTGCAGTTGCTATTGAAGCATAACCCTTTTCTCCTGCCACGAGTACTTCTGGACATAATTTTGAAGTCATGTGGCTTGCAAAATTTTTTTTTCCAGCAATTGAAAGCCTGTGTTCATTCAGCAGAAGCTAATCTTCAAGCTGAAGGGTGTATTTGGTCAATTCTAGCAGCTTACCAGCAGCTAGGTATCTGTGCTGGTGCCAAAATATCCCAGCAGCATCTTAAAATCCAGTATCATATATTTTCCAAGTTGAATGCTTTCTCTAGAAATTTGACAACTACTTTTGACCTGATTATCGTCATCTTTAAGCTCTAAGATGCTCAAGGCATCATTCATGCTGTTCTAGGTTAGTCTGGTTCTCTTGGGGCCTCTGAGGCTCAGACATAGGAACTTCTGCGCAGTAACCTGGTACCCTGCAGCAGCAGCTAAGGCAGAGGGCTCCCCCGCATCTGCTTTTTGCTCACAGTAAATAAGATGGTTAGGTAGCTCAGCTGCCTTCCTAATGGGCTTTTTTTTTTTTTTTTTTAAAAAGTAGATACAATTACTTGCACTTGCTGCAGGCTGAATGGTTCCTGTATAGGGATTGCTGCTTGTGCAGTTACATATTTGTGTGTGAGTGAGTGCTCTGTGTAAACATGTGTGCAGGCTTTTTCACCACAGGAGGCGCTGGGTTTGAAGTACTATTGAATGATCAGTGTTTGCAGTATTTTGCAAGTTTGTACGTACAGGAGTAGTGTTCAGTGTTGGGAAGTCCCACTGAACAGACAGCTATGTTTGTGGATTAGGCTTGCTGGAAATGTTACCTTTCCTTTGAAAGGACTACCCTTGTTCAGCTTTTTTGTTTTTATCCATCTCCCTTTTCTGTTTTAAAGGTCGTAGCTGAAGAAATCCAGTTGCCTGGTTATTTCTTTTTATCCTTTTTAGGGAAGGAAAAGATGATCTCTCCTAGGCAAATTATTCATACTACGTACTGATGCTAGAGCAGTGCATATTTTTCTCTGGAAAGTGAACTGTTCTGCGTACACTGTAAGCAATCAGCAACAGAAGGGATTATATTCAGTTTTGAGGATGAATGGGATAGGAAAATAATACAGGAAAAAAAAGGCTCAAGTCTGGTCAACAGAGGAAAAAAGTGATACTTGAATGCTATTCATTGATTCCTTTTGTGGAAGATGGTCTTGAAAATAAAAACAAAAATGGCAATGGGGGATAAGTTTTCCTGGCATTAAGCAGACTGCTGATTATATGAAATGCTACCCATTTTAGATGTTACCATTTTAGATGCTGTTTTTAAGAGAGCAGATGCTGGCTTTTAGCTTTAAGATATTTTTGAAAATATAAAGGGACAAAGTTGTGTTTAAAGCAAAGGCATTTACGTTTCAACAGTTTCCAGATACAGTGATGTATTTGCTGATGTGGCTTTAGAAAATGAAGTTCTGGTAACACAGTGTTAATGGTGCAAACTATATACAAGGAAGCTGAATTCACCTTTTTATTTATAATGGGTGTCTGTAGTGCAATAATGTTCAATAACTGAACATTGAAATAAATGTCTTGACAGTTTGTAAACCTTAAAATGTGCATGAAGCATCATTACAATAATTGGCTTGTAGGTAGATGCAAACTTCTTATGTTAAAATCTATAGTTCAGTTTTTATAAACTAATTTCCAACTTGTTTTAAAATGGAGGTGGGTGGGAGAACATTTTACTTGATACGTGCTTAATACTGATGTATTAATAAATCAGTATTAAAACAGATTCAGAATGAATTATAAACTTAAGAGCTCAAAACTTGTGATATAAGCAGAAAAAGTGTCAGTTTACTCAGAAAATGCTTATTATTTCAGTTTTCAGATTTGTTTGTGGAATAAGAATTATTTTTCTGTTCAGGGCTGTGATTTGTAGGAGCTTTACTGGAAATTAGCCAGTATAGCGTAACAGGTTAGTTGTATTTAAAAGTGCCTTATTGTAAGGTGTTGTTTGTTTGCTCTGTAATATACACTTTTATCCATAAAACATGAAGATGGGAAGGTGTTTGGTGGTTTTTTTTTTTTTTTTGCCCACTGCAGTTTTATGTTTTAAGAAGGATAAGTAAAGTTAGCCAGAGATTTATCAAATGTTTCAAATTATAAAATGTCTTTATATAAAATCATAAGAAATCTAAAAAAGCAAGAACTGTTTTTTCTAGAACTGTGGGAATTATTTTATGGAATTTTTCACAATAAAGATATTTATGATGACAGGAATGCACTGCAGTGTTTTTATTTATCCCTCCTTCCCCATCCCACTCTCCAAGGTGAGAAGAGGCTTGAAAGTTGGATTTGTGTTAGAATGCAGTAAAAGGCTTTCAAAACACTAGCTTTGGAGGTTAAATTAAAATTATCTTAGGCAGTTAATACAAAAGTTGACAAGCATTAAAAAGTAAAATACAAGGTGAAGTAGTCTTTGTATATTTGACATTTTTGGTTTCAAGCCTTAGTCATCCTCTAGTTTTGCAGGAACTGTAGTGAAATGTTTTATGACCGTAGAAGATAGCATTTGACAATATCTTGGACTGATACCTAGTTTTCTTCTTTGGTGGGGAGAATCTAGTTCTCGGTACAGTCAGTTAAGAGTTTTGTTTTGTTTGCTTTAAACAAACTGTGCTGCTAGCGTGGCAGTGGGTCTTTCTGAACAGCAGGCTCTATTGTGCATCTCGCCCCTGGGTTGCCGCTGCTACTCAGGGAAAGGAGGGATCCCTGTCCCCTTCCTTCTGACATCACGCTCGGCTCATGAGCTCTGGAGAGGAAGGTGGGTAGCTGAGTATGTGTAGCACATCTAAGATGTGCAGGTAACCCAAGTAATGATGAAAACAACTTCAAACAATGATCGTGTATCCAGCGAATGTTTCAAGTTGGCAGAAGAAAGTAACAGAACTCAAAGGTGGCTGTGAAGGAGCCTGTGAAAGTCTCAGCTTAAATCCTCAGCTATAGGGCAGGGTGTTACAATGCTGTGGTATAGCATTATCATGGAGCCAGAACAGCAGGCTCTGCCTAAGCAGGTGTGTGCTTACTCTTCGCTTGTGCTAAAGACCAAAATTAATTTACAACTCCTTCATAGTTTTCACTAGTTTTGGGGTTAGGTGTTCCTGGGGCCTGGAAGAGGAGATGCAGACAGGCAGAGCTAAACCATGTCATGTCTCAGTGCTGTTTTGTCCTTGAGAAAGCCCATATGTGAGGGCTATAAGAGTATGTGAATGTTTTGTATTAAGAGGTGAGGTGCCTCCCAGCAGGCTTCCTCCATATTTGCACCACACAGAGAAGGGTTGAAAGGGAGCTCCTGTTAGTGACAAGGAATTTTTGCTTCAGGGAAGGGTGGGAATTGCATCAGCAGAGGTGGGCCAGCTGGAGAAGGCTGCTCTGAAATGAGAGAGTGGGGAGCAGGAATTGCTAGTGGACAGGCACAGTTTGCATGGTTAACAGTCGGAGTGCTGCAATTGCTTCCTGTTCAGAAGATAAACTGTGTGTCAGTCAGTCCGAGGAAGATTCTTCATCACAAAAGAAACTGGTTTGGACTCTACTCTTGGTTCTGCCATGGTTATCTTGTGCTTAGGCTGTGAGATACAACAGCACTGGATTGGACTTCCTATGTTTTAATTACTATAGGGGTAGGTATCTATCTAATCCTTGTACTTCCAGGGCAGGCTTTAGCTATCACAGCCACATATTTTGACTTACTCAGATAACAGATCTTCTGGCTAAACTTCAAGGTCACCTGATGAGAACGAGAGGCACTGCTATCTCTGCAAAGACTGAGTAGGTAAGAGGCTGGGGTGCAAATTGCATTATCGGGCTCTGAGCAGACCTGCCCTCAAAGTGCTCCACTAGGGCTCAAAGTGCATCAGTAATCTTGTCAAAGAATGTGTCTATTCATGCCTGCCATAGAGAAGCCACAGAGAGCTTGATGTGGTCCCCAAGCATGACCCTGGTGCAGCAACATAAGAAGTAAAGCTAAGGTGTATCTGTGGTGTCTAGACGATGGTCCTGCCTGAAGTCATCCAGAGCATATACATATGCACATATGGTTGAGTGTGAAGTAAAAGGGTTCCTGTTAGTCATCAAAATGTGCATTTTATGTTCATTTAACATCCCAACCTCTTCCTGATAAACTGCTAATTTTTAGGATTTACTGGTTGAAAGTAACTTGCAGTGTGCTCTTACATGTATATGCAGTGTTGAAGG